AAAAAACAAAAAAAAAAAAAAAAAAAAAATGAAAAAAATTAAAAAAAAAAAGCACTTCTATCAAGGAAAAATGAAAAAAAAAAAAAAAAAAAGATATTGACCGACTAAAATTATAGAGAGGTTTCATAGAAAGAGAAATGGAAATTACAAACTACCTAAAAAAATTTTAAGGAATTTGTAGAGCTTAAAAGTAAAATGAAGACATTTTGGCAAGTATTTTTAAGTAGATTTTTCGGAAAGTGTTTAAGTATTATAAGCTCCCTGAGTGAACAACAACTAAAAAAAATTATGAATACATAAAAAATATATATTTAACATATTATAGATAAACTGAAGATGATTAAAGAAGAAAATTTCATCAAATTAGATTGGATAAAGAGATAGATCCTAAAGAAACTCTATTTAATAACAGACAACTTGAACAAACTTTTTTATTAACTGAAGTGGATAAAAAATAGTTAAAAGCCAATTAAAAACGCGAGCACCACTTATTATTTTTATCGTAGACAAAGTGCTTAATAATGCTTCACTACCACAGTTCACCTTCTTAAAAGAAAGACTATTTAAAACCGAATGGGGAATCTTTATATATAGAATCTCTAATTTCAAAGATGCAAATCCCAATGACATACTAGTTAATAGAGGAGAAACAATCGCAACCCTAAAGACAGAAAAATGCTCTAATAATTATCAAACACAACATACACAAAATAACAGTAATCGAAGATGTCAAAGTTTACCACCACGATGACAGAACAGTCAGCAAAGAGAGAGCAAAACTATAACTACTCTACCAATAATACGTGCTTTCATTGTGGAATAAGAGGACACAGAAATTTCGAAAGTTGAGAAGAGAACTTGGTCAATGTAGAAACTACCATTAACAGAGACAAGCCCCTAACTCAAGTCCCATGAGATATAATACATATAGGAGTAGGCAGCCATATTGAAATAACGGAAATTTAAAAAAAAATATCAGTTCAGAAATACACAACAATATACAAAATGCTTTTTTTTTCTTACAAGGGCTTTGTTCGCACATCTTATGCCTGTTTGATTCCATAACACCACCGCACACACTGCTTTTTTCAACGACTGGAATGATGCTCATTGATGATCTCTCTTTCCTTGATTCGAATTTTAGTTTCCCTCATATTCATTTTGCAAGTGCGCTTAAAGCTCGTGCATCCATGTCCGTCCAGTAAGGATTGCTCCCTCTGTCAACATTCCATACAGCAGTTTCTCTCCATTCTTCTTACATGACCTAACACGAGAAGGCAACCTCATGCTAAGAGAGGAGAACACGCTACACATATAGGCACGTTCAAAATCCTCTGTGTTATGCACTTTGCCCTTCCATCGAATTTGCAAAATTCAACACAGGCATCTATGATGGAAGCTGTGCAGTTTTCCCTCATGACTTGAATTCTTCTATATCTTTGTATGTTTTACTGAAAATGTTTTCAATCCTGTTCCATATAGCAAACGTCATTTTTTCAGTATAACAAAATCCCCTTTATAAGTCATCCATATACCGTTTAAGCAGTGTAAAATGTATATTGAAGTGAAATATTATAGAATGTGATAATGGTTTTAAAATGTAAGTGTCATAATTGTCTTGCAGCTGTTTTCGCATGTCCTGTCTTAATGATAAGAAAGTATACTCCCACACGCTTCCTTGCCAAGCCAACATTTCAGTTTGAAGTCACTGATGAATCGAGTCTTCTTGGTGGTTTTTAGTTATAGACTCTGGCTCCAACTCAAAATATATGTGTTCTTTATCACTTATAACATTTGGCAATGTCTCTGCTTTAGAGTACATCTCTGACAACGTTAAATTTCCTACTTCTTGTAGATGATTGCCATGATCGTGTTTCCACTTAGCGTTGTCATCGCGTTTTGTCATTTCACTGAATTCGGTAACACTTGAGCCACATCCAATTTTAGTTTCTGAATACGCTGTGGGCGCAGTATCGTTGTTTAGATTTGTATTACCATCAAAAACGACGATGCATTTCCTAAGATTTGATAAGCCTTCGGTGGCTGTATATTCATTTAACGTTACAATAGAATAAGGTTCGATGATTTTTGGAGCTTCTGATTCAGTGCAGGTATCGTAATGATCTGTATTTTTTACGTTACATGCATCATTGCGATGTTGAAAGGAGTCTATTTTCATCTTTGACTGCTGTTTTCTACGCCTAAATAGAAATAATACCGACGCAGTAATAACAATGATTATCAAAACACCAAGTGAGACAGTAATGCTAATTATTAATGTTAATTTGGTGTCTGAATTAGGTTCAAATAAATTTGTTGAATTTGAGGCAGGGCTAGATTGTTTATTGTAGCCAGTTGTAGATTCAGTTGACGTCCTAGAAATTGTGGAGAGGTTTGAAATATTTGTGCATTTCGTCGGTATGCCTCCATTTCGTTCTGGATGGGTGTGTGTCTCGTTGAGAAGTGCGGTACCATTGGCTACGCACATGACCGAGTAGTTACATTCCGCCCAGGTCAAACTGGCATTGTTGGAATCACAGGTAACGTTGGTGAATGAATTGAGGCATCCGTTTGGTTTCAATTGAGTTACGCTGGTATTGGATATAGCGGAAGCAGCCTCCTTAGTGCAAACGAAAATGCCGTCACTTCTGAATGTTGAGTAAACACTACACTGATAAGGGCCAGATGTGTCTTTAGATGTAGCGTTATCAAAGATTGTGTTGTAAACTTCAAACTGGTCAGTGAAGTGGGCCGTTTGTGTACACGTTATATGATTATTACAAATACAACTGAAAAACCTGCGAAGAGAAGGACATTTTGAAACTTTTAAAAGAAATTGTGTACGTGTGTCAAATGTAATTTGACATTCCGACATAAAGAATTTTTTTTTTTAAGTGTTGCGTTTTACTGACGGCTCTTGTTCGAATTGTGATAAAGACATATCAACATTTATTAACAGTAAATACATAAACTAAATATTAGAATTAATAACTAAGAATAAAACATTATAGTTACGTAGAATGCATTTAAATTCCCATGATAATTATGCATGCCTTTCAATGCCGTAAATATATATAGATATATCTTACGAAGGATAGAGTTTTTCACACTTTTGAATGTAATGCATATGTATACCCAAGGCTTTTCCTCAAACTGACAACCTGTATTATTTTAATTTCACTTTTGCGTCCCACTTACTCTGTTGTGTTGCCTTTGTTAAAGTAAATGTTATAATCACCAACTTTAAAAACAAAAAAGTCGTCCATGGGTGTCCATTCCTGGCTGTTTACATTTGGAAGAATGAGACTCAGACTTAGAATTTGAAGGAGCAGCATATCCTTAGGTAGCATCCTGAAAAAAATAAGTATAGATATATGAGATTTGCTATCTTGAGAATCTAGTTTTATTTATATAGATCATATTTTAGCATTATTCGATTTTCATGTGTCTGTGGCTTATGTCTTAGAAGTTCGGGAATTAGGCGACCCTAGCCTACCTCAAAAAGAAGTTATGTGCGCAGAAATGCTCGCCATTTTAGCGTATAATATCTGTACTGACAAGTGTACTCATATAGAAATTAATAAATCAATGCATTACGCAATAACATTGTAAAATTATTATTATTTTTTTTTTTTAAAATTCATCTTACATTGATAAAAAAATTCAGGATGATTGTAACTTCCATTAATGGTAATATACCTAGTGCAAAAAAAATATAAGAAAAAGATAATAATATGACAGACTGTAAAAATGTGCAGAAATAACATGCTTTTGTAGAAGTCTATTTGTTTTTGTTTTTTTTTAATAAAGTAAAATAATTTAAATACACTTTCAGATTTTCCAAAAATATAAAATTTGAACGACATGAAAAGGTAAAAAAGAAGCTGTTATAGCCTGTGTGTTGACCTAGTTTTGGTTCAGCACGAGCAGTGGCATGAACGTATCAGGACTCTGCTAGTCCTTATCCCCAACGCCCTTGGGTGGGAAAGTTTGTCTGAGGTCTGCATAGAGGCAGAAAATACTCTCTGACAATTGAATTACTAGGCTCTCTGTTCTGAAGGGTTCTTACATCTTTACTATAATTACGACGGTCGACCATGACCGGCAGATTTACGAGTCTTACAAGACTTACAGAAGCCCTACAGGAGCCCTACAAGACTTATTAGATATTTCACTCCCTGTGCGGATTAATATGTGTAACTTTCTAGTATCATACTTTTTCAAGTGCTGTGTTGTGAGTAAACTCATTTTTTATTGCTGTATATTTTTTTGTATTTCATATAAACTGAATATTAGATTTCTTTTAAATTTTGTTAATATCCCTCGCTTTTCTTATCTTTTTTTTTCTTTTAATACTTGTTACTGCGTGTTTTCTACTAACGAGCCACATTTTGTCATCTGAACTACTCACTTTGTATAGATCACTAATGTTTATAGAATCATTGGATAGCTAAAGCTATAACTTACTAATGGAAAAACATTGAGTACCCATATTCTAAATGTAAATAAACTTTTACCCGTCCCTACAAAACTATATTGGCTTTTTAAGCTATGATGAAACCAGGTGATTTGGAAAAAAAAGTAAATGTAAAATTATAGTTCTGTTTTATAATCATGTCTTAGTGTCTCTATTTAACACAACATGCCAAAATCATGGTCCATACTTATTCATACATATACTAAACAAAGTAGCGTGGCGCCACAAAACGTGAAATAATTAACAAATATAATGAAGTTGTATTTTAAAAATTGTAGTATTAATGAAAAGAATATTATTAATAAAATATTAAACTTACCTAGATGGATGAAATTGATTATTAGAACATAGCCATTAACTCTTAAAGCAGTTTAAATAATTTTTTTAAGCAATTAAAAAATTCAATTTTTAAAAAATAAATATGGTAACATTTTATGTAAACCTTTTGCTTATATCCTTGCTCAATATCCAACAAGGAAGTAAAATATACGTTGTGATAAGAAAGTTCAACCAGTGTTGACGTTGCTTCGCTTCAATGAGATCTAGTGAGAACTGGAGTTGAAACAAGTTCCCTGTGCCTCACCCGAATGGCACGTATAAATGTATTTAATCCAATAGTCTGTTTACAGCCTGTGATTATTATTATTATTTTTTTTTGACATAAACATTATCAACATTAACTGGTGATGGCATCCAACATTTGGTGGTGTGGACGTGCCTACAAATCAGTTTTAGGAAAAATTAATCATACATTTCAAGCCTCAAACCAAGTGTAAGCCTACATGCTAGCTTGAATGTCTTAATATCTATAAATGTTGGACTGAACTGTTTTGATATTGGCTTCTTTTATAGGCGACTTAAAATAAATCTATAACTAGAAATTCGGTGTTATTAAATAATTTTTTCCTCTATATCTGTGGTGTCACCTTAGTTCCTCATTTAATGAATCAAGTGAAAAAAACTTAGGCCCGAAGTTTGATTAAGACAACAAATATGATTACATATAGTAATGAAACAACTGAATGATGTATATTACAAGGTGATAATTTAAGTAACTTACATTTGAACTAGAGAAGAAATCAACACATTTTCTTTTATAAGTAGTTTAAATACAAAACAACACAATTTTTTTAAAAAAGTATCCAAACTTGTTAATCATCGCACAATACAATATAATTAGTTTTACATTTGTAAAAAGAAAAAAAACAACAACTAACAAACCTGTTATTTTCGTCCATTCAAATTTTTAGCGTTAAAGTCAGTTACTTGGTCTGCTTAATTCTCGCTCTATACCTTTGAGACTGTGATTACACACATGAATCAATATAATCAATAAGAGGCTTGACATTCCATGCATGCATAGTGTCTGGTAATATGTATGGTATACTGCTATCTGACATATTGCTGTAACTTTGCGAAACATGAGAAGGGGAGGAAGGGTTGCAATTCTGAATTAATTAAAAGGTGGAGAGAGAAGTTGCAGAGGCGAATGAACGGGGAGACCTTAAAATAGATGAAGCATGACTATTGGAGAATCGGTTGGGTGTAGAGAGGATGTCGAGGTGGGAGAAGGTAATTGGAAGATCAGTGGGGTGTGAAGAGGATGTTGAGCTGTGAGAAGATAGGGATCTGCGCGAAAAGCTTATATTGAAATATAAGATTTTTCGAAAGGATGAGGGCAGCAGTGAATGTTTCAGAGCCCCTTTAACCCTTAAAAAAATTGGGACAGATTTCATTTAAAGAATTTTATTCTGGTTGTAGCACATTAATGCCTATTTAGACAATATCTGGTACTTTTATCCAAGTGATCTGTTTCTGGTCAGAAAACGAATACTCGCCCCTGTAATCTGTATCTGTAAGAGACCAAGTAACCAAATCTGTTGTATGAGGAAGACCTAAGTCCGTAGAGTGGCCGTGCAGAGGCGTCGACTCGCTGAAACGTACGTTTAATGTCTTGACTTTTCAGACTTTATCGTATCTCATTCCCACTAGTTATTAACTTTACCTGGCTGGAAAGCAGTTCTTACTTTTGTATCATTTATTGGTTAAGTAAAAAAATGTACATATACCGTGCAGTCACCAGTGTCACTTTTCGTATCAGTTCTCGGTTTACACTCTCAACCACGGCAATCACACGTGACCTTCTTATTTTTCGTATCTTTACAAGAGCCACATGGTTGTTATGCAAGCTTTTGTGCCAGTTTCTTTTTGTCAGCAGATATAAATATTATCTTACAGTTTTATCTGACTAGTTTTCCTGGTACTCCATAGTGCCGAAGAAGTTTCCACAAGGTTTTTTTTGTCCAGGCTATCAAAGGCTTTCTATAAAATGTATATATAGTGGGGAGTTCCATTCGATGGACTGTTCTATAATGATTCGTAGTGTTGAAATTTGATCTGGGGACGACCTGATTCGGCGGATGCCAGTCGGCTGATCTCGTAGCTGCATGTCGACATGGTCTTTCCTTTTATTCAAAATAATTTTATAAAAGATCTTTCCTAGTACAGACAACAGCGTAATACCTCTGTAATTTGCATAATTTCTGAGATCCCCTTTCTTTGGTATCTTGATGAGGTATCCCTTTTTCCAATCTTTTGGAACTCTCTCTTCGTCCAACATCTTTTCAAACAGGGCGTGCAGCTTGTTGACTATTGTATCTACATCTGCTCTCATCATCTCTGCTGTGTGCAGCATGTTGACTATTGTATCTACATCTGCTCTCATCATCTCTGTTGCGTGCAGCATGTTGACTATTGTAGCTACATCTGCTCTCATCATCTCTGTTGTGATTTGATCCGGTTCCGATGCTTTCACTAATTTTAGCTGCTTCATGGTCATAACTATTTCTTCCTTATTTGGTGCGCTTTCTTCTAGTTGTAAGTCTTCCTTTGCTGGTCGTATGTCTGGTGTGTCTGTGGGTGAGTTCTGTTTAATAGTTCATTAAATTGTTCCATCCATCTTTTTTTTTTTGTTCTTTCCTTTCCGTTACTGATCTACCTTCTTTATCTTTAACAGGTCTCTCCAGCCTTTTTTATCTTCTTTAAAGCTTTCTTGTTGTGTCATAGAGTTCTTTCAAGTTGCCCTTCCTGGCTGGTTCTTCTGCTGTTGATGCTAGACCATCTATGTAGACATTTGTATCTTTTTTGGATGCTGTTTTTTACCCTTAAATTTGTTTCTTTATATTTCTCTTGTGCGTTTTTTTCTTCTCCGCCCTGGTGCCGCTGCTGTTAACTACATTTTACATTTATTTTCTCTCTCTTTTATTTTTGCAGTGTGTTTAGTGAGAGCCAGTCTTTGTGTTTCTGCTTCACTGAACCTAAAACCTTTTGGCAAATGGATGTTACAGACATCTTTATATTTTTCCATTATGTTCTACCTGGTCATCTTCTGTTTGGTCTTCCAAGCCTTGGCACTTAGTTCTTCTAAGGTAGCACTGAATTCTCTTCGTTTCTGCTCATTTGCCAGAAGTGCTATGTTGACTTGTGTTCGTTCAGCATCGGGCTGTTCCCAGTTTTTCTTCAATTTTAACTTGAGTCTTACCCAAACAAGATAATGATCGGATTAGACATCGGCTCCTCTTTTTGCTCGTGCGTCTTGTAGAGGCATTCTGAATTTTTTGCTGATACATATGTGATCTATTTGGTTTTGCGTTTTGATGTCCGGGGATACCCATGCTATCTTTTGGATGTTTTTATGTTGGAATTCGCTACCTCCGATAAGAAGCTCGTTTACTGCGCAGAAGTCTGTTAGTCTTTCACTAAACAGTAAGACATTTCAAAACAATTTACAAACTCACGTAGTAACATTTTTTTTCAAATTATGTGATCTTAAATTATCAAGGGCAGCAACCGTTGACTATTTTATTTTATCCAAACCATTTACTATTTATCTACCCTTTAAAATGATCAATTATTTTTTTTTCCTCCTTTTGCATTTTATTGGAATGTTAATTTATTCATCAGCTTTTTATAAAAATAATTATTAATTTTCTATATCATTTCTTGTATTTAAAATTCAATGTGTTCTGCTAGAATGTCGAATTCACCACGCTCAGCGTATATGTACAATTCACCAGGCTCTGCTTGCATCGACAATCCATTACGTTCTTCTTGCATGTACAATTCACTAAGTTTTGCTTGTATGTACGGTTCACTAGGCTCTGTCTGTGTGTACAGTTCTTTGGGTCTGCTTGTATGTACAAATTAATAGGCTCTTTTGGCGAAATGTAACTCTTAGTGTCCTGTGGTCATCCAGCCTTCGAATCCAGACGCTCACCTGTGGGACATCCCAGTCTCTTACTCTTCACACAGACCAGTGTAACCGACATAAATATAGCAACACTGAATATATTGATATAAGTTCAATCCTCTAATTGTATTATGCCTCGTCAAACCTGACATATCAATGTACTTCAACAATACAACTTCTAAAATAATCAATGTTCTAGTTCAATGATCTATCCAGCCGAATCCTCACACACAGAATCAAGTTACGCCTTGAATATCACACAGCGGCCATCTATATCTTCTACCAACAACCAAAACTTACGAGTCATTTCCCCTTACACAAATACGTCACCAGCCTGTCACACAATAGCGACAGCTACACATGAAATCTCTAAACAGAACATATTTTGCCTACCAAACATAACAACAGTGATCTACGCATAACAACAGTGATTCTCATACCCTTGACATATGCTTGCATGGACGATTCACTTGTACGATGCAATAGGCTTTGCATCTTTGTACAAGTCACAAGGCTCTGCTTATATGTACAGTTGACTAGGCTATGCTTGTATGTACAATTCACTAGGCTCTGTTTGTATATACAATTCACTACATATCTAAGTTGCACGATTCTACTATCCACCTTAAGTCAAAAGCCCTTTAACAATGTTTAGAAAATGATAAAATACCTTGGCCTAAATGGACCGTTGCTGGGCGTCGTCCTACTACCTTAACAATGGTTCTTAAAACATTGATTGCTGCTACCAGTGGCCCGACTCAAACAATGTAAAATAAACGAAAACACATTCGCTCGCTCTCCCTTACACCCACACACTCTTTCTCTCTCTCTCTCTCTGTCTGTCTCTCCCTCTCTCTGTCTCTCATTTCCCCCCCTCTCTCTCTCTCTCTCTCTCTCTCTCTCTCCCTCTCTCTCTCTCTCTCTCTCTCTCTCTCTCTCTCTCTATATATATATATATATATATATATATTTATATATATATCTATATATATATATATATATCACGCATCTTCTCTCTCTTTCTCTAACATTATGTATATTTGTATTTTGGCNGGGGGGGGGGTATAATTTATTTTGTATTATCATATGCTCCTACAATACAAGCAGCCAGTGATTTAGATTGTTTCACGTCTTTGATCCTTTTAATCATTTTCTCAATATTTAATTTAAGAAATTACTTCACTGAATAATTAACCTATCTTTCTTGACTCATAAGTGGTTTTGAAGCAATGTTTGACAATTAATGGGTGTTCAAGTAGTATTATAACAAAACTAATATGTTGACCTAGAATGATGCATTTGTAGTTACTTATTGAAACCAGTCTGCGTATATTAACATAGTCATGATGCCTTTATAGTTACTTATTGGATCCAATCTAGATAATATGTTGACCAAGCTATGATTCCCTTACAGTTACTTATTGTAACCACTATACATATGTTGACCTAGCTATGATGTCGTTATAGTTACTTATTATAACAAATCTACATATTTTGAGCTACATATGATGCCCCTAAAAAGTTACTGAGTCGTTCAAGGACAGATTACACATTTAAAGTAATCTCTCTTGTGTTGAAATGCAAGGAATCGCTCTTGCTCTTCAAATTACACTGTTATGGCGTTTAAATAATGCATTCATTATTTTAGAAAAACTAAAACGTATATACAGTTTTTTAATCCATTATAGTTTTTTTTTATTACCATAAATTAAATAATACGAATTTAGTTGTGTGATCCCCATTATCTTCACTGGCCACCAGGCAATTGGCAACCAGTGGCAGCCACTAATTGTATCTATTGAACTTTAAAATCATTTCAATTCTAAATAAACAAACACATCAAAAAGAAGTTTTTTGTTTGGAATAAATAAATATTTTATTGATTTTGATTTTTCTTAAATATAACAGTAATAACATGTATTTACATTTACAAGCCTTGTAATAACAATATTTGGCCACTAATGAACATCATGTGAAAAAAGAAAAAATATTTTAACATAATATATAATGTCTATAATAATTATACAGC